GGTATAGTATTTTAATCAACCCTTTTTAGACTGAGTTTCGAAGGTTATATGAGAACGTTTATGTAAATTATCAACCCTTTTCAGGGGTTTATGAAAGTGCAACGTGTCGCAATCCCTTTAAGCATTTATGAATCTGATCAACCCTTCAATAAACCTTCCAGGAAAAATATTTAACGATAATAAACTCCATACTAAACCATTTTTGGAGGGTTTATAACAGGGTTTATGACTCGTTGATAAACGGTTGAAAAGGGTTTGCGACACGTTACACTTTCATAAACCCTTTTTTCGTTTATTATTCTACGGTTTTTTTACAGTGTAGATAGTGGAACTAAAAGCAGATCTAAATCGACTTTGGACAGACTTTTAAGAATTCTAGAAAAACTCAAAGGGTTTCCTTCGACAACCGTTTTATTTCGGCAAAATCCCCTGGCATTGAAGTAGTCTATCGGAAGCAACGAACCGTGGGTGTCTAAGAATCCGGAGAAAAAAAATTGATTTTGATGTGATACTTCAAGAACTGTTAGGAAAATCGGGATATGCGAAATCGCGGGGGCCCTTCGAATGAATGCTTCTTTGTGCGATGTGCCCGCAATGGCAGACATTGTTTGAAAAACAGAAAACGACTAGTAAGAATTTTTTTCCGCATTCTAATCGGCTTAGATGAAATTATTGTTCTCCAGACTAAAAAAGACTTTCCTAGAACGTCAGAGGATTACAATTGATTTTGAGTTCACTAATGGAAAGAGGCAAGAAATTTTGTTTGCACTTTGGAGAGGCTTGTTCTCTTAAAAGTCGTAAAAATCCAAGGGGGAACGGAATACTCAGGATCGAGTGCAACTGCTTTGAGTGGTCTGGAGTGTGGCTGTAGTACGACCAAAGTATGCGAGTACGGTCAAAGTATGGCGATGGTATGAGGACTCGTGAAATAAGAACCCTGGGTGATATCAAAGAGAAACTGTTAGATTGTTTTCATTCTAATTTCATGTTATTTAGCCAGATGTTTATCTTTCCTTCCAAACCTTTTCCCTTCTCCGCCGACATTATCCACTGGCAGGACTGATGGTAGAATAAAAAAAGACAAGTAGAAAGATCGAAAAAAGGAAGTGGAGGAATAGAGAATCATTCTAGAGTGTTCTATATGTGATTTGGTCCATCATAGAAGGATAACAGGCGCAAAACTAGGACGAAATGATAAAAGAAGCTCTGTTTCAGTAACACCCAACGATAATACTTCATGAATCCTCATACTCCCACACTACTTATAACATACGATGCAAAAGTAATTGGACAAATGTCCGACCCTATTTCTCTTCGATAGTAAGGTACTAAAAGAAAACTTTTTTACCAAAAGATCTGTTTGACGAGCCTCTAGGGAAATCGTAAATTTATTGCCCAAGTATTTCTTCTTTTACTCACCTCATTTTATTTTCGAATGTGTAACAAATTTTAATCTTATATAGTTCGAAAGAGGAGAAAAAGCTGTATCTTTTGGTAAAAACAGTTTTCTTTTAGTACCTTACTATCGAAGAGAAATAGGGTCGGACATTTGTCCAATTATTTTTGCATCGTATGTTACCTCCATTTCCCTTGACGGTACTCGTATATCCTAGCCGCACTCCAGTTCTCCAGCCGTACGTCCATATTCCCCCGTTGAAAAGTATGTTCTGAAATCTTGGAGTTGCTGCGGAAATATCGGAGTTTCTTCGGGGTACGTTCGAAGTATCTTGTATCCCGGAGTGTCATTTCCGATATTTTAAAAAGCTCCCGTATATCCGTCATAGGGATGCAAGAGATTTCCTAATCCGATTGTCACCCACGAGTTTCTTAGCCCATTCTTCTATTCTAAAGCGAAAATTTTGTCAGAGTGATAACAAGACTAACGACTAAGTCTTGCTTACTGGAAGAAGCTGCTTTTCGTGATGGCCCAGTGGCTGCAACATGAGCGCCGGTCGAAGGAAGAGGTAACAGCTTGTGTTCGTCCATGGGAAAGTAGTCTTCCACAAGCACTTCGGGTCCAGCCATCTCTCGGGTTGGCCACGGATTAGCGAGCGAAAGTTGGGCGACGGCATTAGCTGAAATTCGATTCGAAGCCGCCTGCACTTCATCATCGGTCACTAAACGATGTCGATGCGGCCATTCACGACGGCCCTGTAGGAGTTGGCGGGTTGTCTTGAGTTTCTCAATGAGAGTGCTTATATAATGCTCGTAGCACACATTTAAATGGGAGAAAGCATGAGCGTTTTCGACACTGCCATCGATTGGGTTGCTTGTTACACGAAGAGAACGGCCTTGTTGTTCTCGTGCACGAAGCCGGGTCATAAAAGCTTCATAATCGACGAAGTCAAGGTAACGAAGAGGCGTGTAAACTTGAATTTGTGCTGGCAAAGTATTGGAGATGAATAAACGAACGATATTTCGAGCAAGAGCCATGGCAGCTTTCATACCTGAGTTCATACCCCTGCAAAAAGATCAAAGCGTAGTGAATAGTTTGTTTGGACTAAAAGGCAAATATTCGATGTTCTCACTTATTTATGTTCTCTTCTCTTATTTGCAGTAGAAACAATTATGACTTAAAAAGAATTTGATACTATAAGAGTATCACATAAAAGAGAATCCAGGTATTGTCCGACAGTAGCTATCAGAGACTGTCGCAGGGCAGGGCGTCCTCAGGGCATATAAACTGAGGTCGACTTTCGAATGAGTTGTTAACTTTATGAAACATTTTGTTCTTGCTTATTTTCAGGGCTCATACCTTTTTTATATAATTTCAAAAGAATATTATCCATGCATAAAAGCAATCATGAATCCCGCTAAAGATAGATTGAAATTGTACAATTTTTAATCAATTATAATCTGATTTTAAACTTATATTTTGTTTTCTCTAAATATTTGTTTCGAGTTTAATTCATTAATGAATTTTGATAAAAATTGAAAAATAGTTTTAATCGATTATAAAGAATTCAAACGAAATGCTTGACAATAAAAACGATCAACTTTGACGACTAAAAATCAGATTATAATCAAGTACAAATGGTGTCATTTCAATTTATTCTTGATGAAGCAATAATACTTGTTAATCCAATATCGTGCCTTCGTTTAGCATGGGTACATGACATTAGTAGCATATTCATACAGAAATAAGATATCCGTCAATGAAAGCAGTGATTCTTTGTGACTGAGTATCATCATGTAATTGATTCAAAGTCTTTCATCACTATTTAGCACAATGTAGAGATTCATTTTTTTATTATTTGCTTGAATTCCTTATGACTTGATAAGAGGTGTTCAATCTCCTCGAAATCGAAAGACATCGTATCGAATGATGATGAATCAGAATGAGCATCGTATTCATAAGTTCTAGTGAAATAGATCTAAACATAAAATCATCACTAGCTGGTAAAAATGCATAGATGGCAGATCTGCTGAAAGATTCATGGTTGGATTTAGTTAACAAATTTAAATGGATTTTTAGACAAAAGATGTTATCAGGGCAGCCCTGTCCTGATGACGGTCTCTGGTAACTATATTGAATTTTTTTAAAGGTTTCCAAAACGGATTCCAGAAAGACTGAAAGAAAAATCGAGTTTAGGGCTTTCCATCCCAAGTAAGCTGATATATTCATATTCGGCATCAGCATGAACATACAATTAAGTCAGATGCCTTCATTTTGTACCAAGCCCACCTCGGCTTTTGTAAGTCTATGGGATCTTAACCACGGTTAAAACGACCGTGCTACATCGGACTGAAACTTTCAGGATTCACTGGGGATAATACAGTTGACAATTATAGAAGAGTAAAGATTATTTGCTATGCACGTGAACATTCTGACACAGAAGCACATCGCTGCATAACTAGGTAGAAACACATATCATTTTTTTTAAATATTTCAAACAATTCAATATCAAACACTCATCTTAGTACTTTTGTTTTGGAATGGAAAGCTAACATTTAAAATTTTGGTAGTATTTTAAAGAGCGATGCTTATCAATATATCAATGTTCATTTTCTCTGCTTGCTTGACTATTTCTCATACATTCTTATGTCGTCTAGAAATTGATGGTTTCGGCAAACATCTCATTCGACAGAGCTTTCTTCAAACTGGTACTTTTAGGGATCAAATATAGATTTTCAGATTCTTCCGAAAAAACTAGCTTCATCTCGGTTTCCGCCATTTTTTGAGTTGGTATAGTTTAAAGGAACTTTGTGCTGTCCTTAATTAGCAGAATTTTAATGCTTTGCCGAATGAGACGTTGCTCGAAATATCAATTGAGAGATGATAAAGGAATTCATCAAAAATAGCCGAACAAGCAAAACAAAAACATCGATATATTGGTAAAAATCATTCTTTAAAATGTGCTACCAAAACCTTCAACGACAGTTCTACACTTCCAAGACAGAAATGCACTGCCCTGTTTTTAATGTAGAACTTTTTGAATAATTGAAAAAAGTTGTTTTCCACCAAGTGATGTCTCCGTGTGCTCCCGACTCAAAATCTTCACGTGAACAGAGAACCCTGAAAATATACGCTTAATATGAGAAGCTAGCTGTTTTTATGATGAAATTTGCATGGACGTACCCAGCTTCATTCTTCGAACTATGTCAAACGATCCAACACCGCATGCAGATGCTGAAAAACCTTTCACTCTTCAATCTGATTGGAAATAGTTTTAAATGCGAATACAGCAGGTGGGAATATGGAATGTCTGTTCGTTTTTCGGTCCAAAACAGTAGTTATGGTTTTTTTTGACAACTTCAATGAATTCTTATGGAGAGTCTGAGTAGGGGTGTCAGGGTTCCCCGTTCCTTTGGGTTTCGTTCCGAAGGGCCGGAACACATTTTGAAATTTGTTTTTATGAAATTTGCAACATAATGCGAAGTTATGAAAGCGTTCTATTGCCATTTCGCAGAAAGTTGCTATGTGTTCCGGGCTCCAGCGAACGGACCCAGAAACTGGCACCCCTAAGTTTGAGAAGACCGTTCGATGCAAAAGTCCATTTTATACCAATTTTGACGGCTTTTAACGCAAATCTTTTTTATCAAAAGGGGAGAAAATGTTTAACAAACCTCCCAGGCCAAAAATGCACGTTCATCGCTGCATCGCCCACCACACATGCCAAGATCTTTCTTCTCTTTTTCTGATTGCCACATTCAAGTTGACTTTCGTCTTTCAATTGGACTTCAGTTTCTTTGACGACCACCGATGCATGACGAACATTAATTTCGATTGGAACAACGCGAAAGACGAACCTGTAGGCAATCTTAATATAATCGAGACCTTGCCGGATGATGGTCCACACAGGTGAATGAGGACATTTGTTATAATCCAATAGATCTAACTGTTCATTGCGATTTCGAAATTCTTCCAGTCGCTCTTGCAATTCTTCGTATTCACTATGGATCAAACGAATGTTCAAATAACCTTGTCGACTC